TACAAACAATTAATCCAATTAATTGAAGACATAAACCTTTTTGGGCTGAAAGAATGCCAGGGCTGCAACCCATAACCTGACTACGATATGATTAATTAAAAAGATTATTTTCATTTACAGCATTTGAAATGATATTGGTGATGTAAACATCTTGTATAATTATCATATCATTAAAAGTTTGCTTCTTGCTTGAGTTTATCTTAATAACTGCAATGTTGTTGGGGAAGTAAGCTCAGTTGAACCACTAGCTACCAGTAGTATCGGCAAAATAATTCAAAGTACTTTGGTGTTGAAATATGTTTTTCATTTGAACTGCTAGCTAGCAGCAGTGCTCCTTGCAAGGAGCTTCCGGCCTTTTGGAAGAGAAACTAGCGGTAAGAACACAAGATCATTCTTAGGAACATCGAACTAGGCTTCTCTCTGGATCATATCTTTCTGAAAGAATCAGTATGAGAAGTCCTGGAGTATCTTAAGGAGTTGAGGTTCGGTACAATTTGTATCACCAGAATGGAATACCAATTTTGCTAAAGTACCACATTGACTATAAAGCAAAAGAGTGTCTTTACCCTCCCATTCTTCTGTAGATGCCCAGCCGCATGCCCTCTCACGAAATGCATTATGCAAAATGAGGCGCGAAGCTTGGTCCTCCTATATGGGCATGGTTTTTTTTTTTTTTTTTTTTGGAAAGGCAAAATAATTTTATTAATAGCCCCATGTATATGGACATGGTTGCTTAGGCAACATCTCATAACAATGAACATTAACTTAATTCCATCAATTTCAGCAAGACTGAATAGTATATCAAACCAACCACTTAATGGAAGTATTAACACTATACATTTGACAATCCAAAATTATCGATGATATATAATTTAGGTAATGGACCAAGCTAGCTCCAAGTGGTTTAGACTTTAGATACTCTTTTCCAAATGGCTTTGGGACTTTGGCAGGGATGAACCTGACCCTTGACGAAATATACTAGAATACATCATCATATACACCATTCTCGAAACTGATTCACTTCTAAAGGCATCAACATTATCATTTTCACATATCTGGAGTCCTTTGCAAATTGCTTCTGCACAAGCCAAGCTATCAAAGAAGACCAGCAATGAAAATAACCCAAGAAGAATCAGAAAATGAAAAACATAAGAGCAAACACCCATACAAGATACAATAACTTGATAAATCAAAATTAATTTGAGAAATAGAAATATTATCCAAGGAGGTGATGAAATTCTGTGCTGTACAAGTGGTGTGGATGTGGAGGACGCTAACCATCTGGTGGTAAATTGTGAAATAGCAAGAAGGTTGTGGTTGAATTGTTTTAGGTGGTGGAATAGCAATTATGTGATGAGTAACAATTGTGGGGAGGTTTTTCAGCAACATTGTTTGCTTGGAGGGACAGCAAGTGAAAGGCAAGGGTGGGAAGGTGGGATGTAATTTGGTTTGCGGTGTCCTTATGGCTATGCAGGGTGAGAATAACTATTCCCGCTAAACACTGGGCGGGTCTAAATCCCCCTAATCTAACTGAAGGAGGCTCCAAGCTGCCCATGAAGTATGAACCATCAATTGTAAAATGCTTTCTCCATTTTCTAGAAGTTTCTTGGCCCCATAATTACATAGAGCTAGCATAGAGAAACAACAGAAAATCATTTGAACATGGAACATATATAGGCTAGAAAACAGAACTTCAAAAATAAGGAGGAGAGTCATATAGATTAATACCTAATGCAGAGTACAACTTCAAAACCACAACTTTAGATGGAAATCAGGCGTTAAGAAGATTGTTTTTAATACATCCATCAATGGAGCACCACCCCGAACAGAATATATAGCAAGACCGAGGCCATCGACATATCTAATATATCACACTCAAAAGAGAGGCCATCTCTTGAAAATGATCAATTGGAAGATTGCCACAATGAAAATCCTTTATATTAGAGACAAAGTAGCAAGTTCTAACTCACGAGAACTAAACAAGGATGACAACGGTGGACAAGATCTGATACATGCATTTGTAAGGATGAGCAGTTAATTTTTTTTTTTTTTTTTGGCCCAGCAAAGAGATGATAATATTGTTAGGGAGTACAAGGGGTACTCCAACCCATTACATCCATAATAAATGTCAAATGAAAGCTTACAGTTTGAACATAATCTCAGCCTTCATTTACTTACTCATACACAGCCTTCGTTCCTGTTTCTATTCATTGAAGCAAAACCTTGGCAGTTTGGATTTACCTGATATCCAATGGCAAGCTCTAATTTGTGCCAATTCCATGACTATGACCTCACTTGTCATTTTGTTCTTGAAGATTATCTCATTCCTTGCCAGCCAGATTGCCCACATCACAGGGCCCCAAACAATTGTCCACCCTTCAGAGGTTGATCTATTTTGAAATAGTGAAAATTGTTGCTGGAAAGCCTCTAGAATTTCCCTAGCTTTGACTGAAACTATTCCCCATCATTGTAAGCATAAATTCCAGACTTTAGATGAGAAATTACACTGTAAAAACAGATGATTTGTATCTTCTTGCTCATCACGGAAGCAGCATTTTAATTGTTCATTGTCCTTCAAGATGCCTCTCCGAATTAAATTTCTTTTTGTAGCGATCTTGTCTTGTAGAGTTTGACATATGAAGGCACTGACCTTTGTAGGGAGCAAGGGATCCAAAGCTTGTTGTATGGCCATCCATCAACATTTCCATGATTGTCTTTTAGCAATAGATAACCCGACTTGGCTGTGTAATGTCCCTTTTTATTAGGAGTCCAAGCCCACTGGTCAGTCTTTCCTTGTTGTAAAGTAAGGGCCTCAATTGTTGTCATCAAATCTAGCAGTTGGTTTTCCTTCCATGTATATATATAACCTCCTGCACCAACTCAGTGTCCACTTCCAGGTTCCATCTTTCCAACAATCCATTTGAGAAATACTGCTGTGTTTACCGGTTGAAAGAAAAAACAGACGTGGATATTTGTTAGCTAGCACTTCATCCCCTGCCCACAAATCCCACTAGAACTTGACATTCTTCCCTTCCCCCACCACTAATCCAAAATCATTCTCTAACCAGCCTTTCTTCAATTCAACTTCATTTACTTTGCACATATGTCTCCGCCATAAAGACCCAATATTTTTCCCCTCTCTAACCCAACTCACCCAGTTGTGCCCGATGCTTCCATATTTTGGCTCCAAGACCCTCCATCACACACTCTCCTTACCAGACGCCATTCTACACCACCACTTCCCCATCAAAGCCAAATTGAAAGTTCTAAGGTCCTTCACCGGCAAACCTCCTCCTTTCTTACTTTTGCAAACAGTGTCCCAATTAATCCATCTAATTTTGTTCCTCTCCTCAATCCCACCCCATAAGAAATTCCTTCTAATTTTTAACAAGAATTTTTATCACACCTTTAGGTAACAAGTAAACTGTCATGAGGAACACGAGTAAGCTTCTCAACACCAACTTGAGGAGTATAATCCGACCTCCAAAGGATAAAAGTCTGCCTTTCCAACCAGCCAATTTCTTCTTGAAAGATTCAACAAGAGGTTTCCACATACCTTGGATTGCCACCAAGTAGAACTCCTAGATACTCGAACGGTAGCACTCGTTTGCAATTCAGCAAAAGCGCCATCCTCATCAACCAGTCCTCTCCTCCACACACACACCCAATAACTGGCTTTTTATATAATTGATTTTAAGCCCTGATACCACCTCGAAGATTCTCATGATACATTTCGTCGCCCACACATTTTCTTCTGTTGCTTTGCCCAAGATTATGGTATCATCTGCAAATTGCAAGAGAGATATTAAATATTTGCATTCCATTCGGGTCCACATCTGATCCTTCAAACAGCCTACGTGCCACAGCAGAGGAGATGATACCGTTAAGTCCTTCAGCAACAATCAGAAAAAGGAATGGTGATAGAGGATCGCCCTGTCTCAGGCCCCTTCCCATCAGAAAAAGGAATGAGCAGTTAATACCGACCAAACTTGATAACTGCATCTGCTGCAACGCTAGTTATATTTCCCCTTTTTACATTATAGTACGAGACCAGTGCTAGCTCCTACAGATCAGCTACTGAATCCTGAAAATGGAAAGGAAGATGTAATCGTTAAATACAGGAAGGTGAGTTTAGAAGAATATGATGCACATCAAATCATATACATGAAATTAACACCACATCTGCAAACATAAAAAATCAAGCTAGTGAACAAGCACTCAACAAATCCTAATTAATGCAACAAAAATACCTATTTCCCAGAAGCAACTACATATGACATTCTTACGTTCCCATTCTTGTAGTCATTTCATATGTTACTTGATGTCATGGAAGTAGCATGGTGAAGTATTAGTTATCTAGCAGACTTGCTCCATGGTACCTGACTAGGCAAATAGGTATTTTGTACCGCCCAATTAGAACGGACATCGTGGGTGAATCAGTTCTGGGTGGATCCAGGAAGTGCTCTGAAGGTCGGTGAGGCTTTTAGAGTTTTCTGGGCCCTTGTGCTCCATTTGTGGTTCTGGTCCGGCGTTGTACGGTTTTCCTCCGTCCTCTCTCTGATTTCGCTGTTCTCTACTGTTTTCCATCTGATTTGAGTTATAATTACACTAAACCCTTGGTCGTTTCTTCTTATAAATTGGTCAGGTTCATGTCGACTTGGCTCGCCATGGCTTCCTTCCCGATTTGTTGTTAATGCATGGACATAAACAGAATTTTTTTAAAATTTGCATTAAATGTTATTTTATTTAAATTATTTTTAAATATTTAAGTTAAAACTTTTAAATAAAAAAAATTAAACAAAAATGAAATGTCGGCCGTTGGATGATTATATCCAATCCAATGGCTGGCCGTTAGGCGGGGTAGACTTTCGCAACATCTTTGCTCGCTTCGGGTTAAAATATGACAAAAATTCAATTAAAATGAGAAAAATTAGCCTTAATTCATCTTTCCCTCCAAGACATCACTTCCATCAGGCAATTCATCCTCTTCTTCCCTTTTCACCAAAGATACAATCAAACTCAATGTTTAGTGATTTTATGTTAATTAACAATGAAAATTTTAAAAAGAAAAAGAGAAAAAAAAAAAAGAAAAAAAAAAAAGAGAGAAAGTGATAGATTGAAAGCCACCTTTTAAATTTATGAACCTAGATCGGCTTCTCCCGCAATTGAACCCAAAATAGGCTTATTCCTATGAGAATCCACCTAGAATCCTTTTTTTTTTTTTTTTTGAACTGACAAAAATATATTAAAGTGAAGTAACTGGTACTCCCAACCTATATGCCCACCTGAAATCTAAACCGAAATTAGGTTCTCTTTCTTATGTGGGTTCTCATAAGAAAAGAGAAAAGGTTAAACGCAATTTTTAGTCTTTAAATTTTTAATTTTAAACATTTTTAGTTCTTAAATTTGTTTTGCACTTTTATTATTTATTATTATGAAAAATGTATTTTTTTAGTCTTTTTATCATTTAATCTGTTAAATATGTCCACATTTGTATATTTTATGAATTTAAGGACTAAAAATATATATATAGATAGACTTAATAAACTAATTGATGAAGGAACTAAAAAATTGTACTTTTCATAGTTTATGAATTAAAAAAGTACAAAAAATAATTCAGGAACTAAAAATGTTTAAAATTAAAAGTTCAAAAACTAAAAATGGAATTTAACCAAGGGAAAAAACGAAGAAGAAGAAGAGGAGGAGGGTTCAGTGAGAGTGAATGAAGAAGAAAAATGAAAGGGAGAAAGGATGACGAATATAAAAATCAAACCCTAGACTAATAAAGGGTGTTGTGCCTCCTCAACAAATGTTTTAGTAAAGAGCAAGAGGAATCAAATAAGCAAGTGAAATGAGAGAGGAGAAGGGTGAAGATGGAGAAAGAAACAGAAAATGGAAAAAGATAGAAACGAGATTCGGAGGCTGGGAAAGGAAGAAGATAACTAAGGGCCATTAGATAATTTTAAATTTTGTATTTATTACTATTTAAATTAAGTTCATGTAATTTAATTTAAAATTGTCACATGGATTAATAAATGTCATATCAGCTACTTAGTTTTCACCTAATATTCAATATTAAAAGAAATTAAATTACTTAATGAAAAACTTACTCATGTAATTGACAAAAGGATGAAATTGGTATTGAAGATTTAAATTTAGGGATAATTTTAATATTTTTGAAGTTTAAGGACAGATATGGTATAAATTTAAAATTTGAGGGACTAAATTAATATTTTAACCTAATTAATTTAAAAGATGGTGTAAAGTGTGGTTTTAGAAACAAAAAATTTAAGGTTCTCTCTTAAAAGATAAATGGATAAAAAGGTAAAAGTACAAAAAAACAAAGCAACTTTTTCCTGGAAGAAAGCAAAGATTTCGTGGAAAATATCCGGACCCAGTAACTGATTTATACGTGGTAGTAAAAGTATCAAATCTCCTGTAAAAAAAAAGAAAAAAAAGTACCAAATCTAATTGCTGCCAGCTATGGTGATAAGCTGAGTTTAAACAAACATGGGACAGGTGAAAGTGGGACCTTGTTTGTAATTCGCTCGCGGAACAAAACTCAATGGATTATGATATGTTCCACAATTCTTTTTAGAATTTCTTAATGCGTAACTTAGTTAAGTGCGCGTTTATTACATATTTTTTTACTAATTTATATAAAAAAAATAAAATAAAAATTATTAATAATGGTTGTTATGATTAATTTATAATTTGTCCAATTTCATTCTTAATTAGTACTAAGTAAAGTCTAAAAGAAAATTGATTATTGATGAGATAAATTATCAAATTAATTTATCTTAATTATAGTTTTGAAATAGAAGTCTTATATTTTATAATTCAAATTATATTGAATTATAAAAACATAAATAGTTAGATATAAAAAGTACTCAAAATATTGAGAAATTTATTTTTCATCTAATTGTTACTATTATATAATTTAAATTGTATAATAATTTTTAGTTTTTTTTAAACAAGTTACAATTTTAAAGTTAAGAGAATTGAATCCCAACCTTTAAGTTGAGAAATGTACTTTATAAATCAATATATAATTATTAGATCATGAAATTTAGATGCGAATAATAATTTTTAATTAAAATAAAGTAGAAAAAAGAAAATTCATCTTTGACTTTCAAACAAAAAAGCAAGTACAAAACTTTTATCTCCGAGGATCGTTTTGGGGTCCCCCTCTTTGGTGCACATATCGCAGGCTAGTTTGTCGTTTAAGGATGTTTTTCAACGTGGCTTGGCCTAAAGTGGTTTGAGGCCTTCATATTTCTAGTGTAAATTAATTAAGAATACTAACTAAACCGAAAAAAAAAAAAAACGATAAGCTTAAGTTCCACGGACCTATAAAAGGAGAAACTTTAAGTTCCATGGAAAGTTAGTAAAGAAGATAAAATTGCTTTACGAAACAATAACAAATTAATGGAAAAAAATGCCAGATATATCCTAAAACAAACCTATGGATGTAACATGCCTCCTTAATGGCCAACATATAAATTTGGTGCTCATTTTTCTCAAACCTAATTGATATGCTGGGTTATTGCCCTAGGTTGGTGAAGTAAAATGTCCTCCATGAATCTGTTTGTACAACACAAAGCAAACGAGAGGGTTGTTTGGCAAAGCTTAAATTGCAGCAATTTTAAAACTAAATTTCCGAAGATAAGAGAATAAAACCTGAGAAATAAATGTGCATTATTCTTCAATCTCTCTTTGGATCTTATCAATCGGCGGCGGTCATGAGTAGAGAGACAAGGAGAAACCCACCCCTTCTGCTCCCTTATATCTTTTTCTTGACCTTTTTCATTTTTTTTATTCACCTTAAAGTCATCTTTTTTTGATTCGCAATTACTATAATGCTACCTTAAATAAAATATAATATAATATTAAATTAGTAAATACATATAATATTACAAAAAAATCCTAAAATGAAAAAAAAATTAATTACATAATTAAATTTCATATTATAAATTTACAATACCACATAATATTATAAATTTGTAATCATAATATTTTCATGTTGTAGATTTCTTTTTGCCATAGTCTCTTTTATCTTTTAATCTTGACCGTCTGATTTCTTTTAATGTTTAAATCAAAGTGCACACTTCTTTTGTTGCAATGTGATCCTTAAATTTCTTTTGTTTTTCAATTTGACCCTCACTGTTTTCTCTAAATGCCACTGGGTCTCTAAAATATAAACTTAAAACTTTCAGCTCCATCTAGTATAGACTGTATAGTTGTGATTTTGACTTTTTAATTTTGGTTTTTAAAATTCAAACAATTAAAAATCAAAATTAAAAATTAAAACTATCAATTTATTAAGTATAAAATTTTAAAACGAATATTCAAAATTTCAAATTTAATTAATTTATAGCATTATTTAATTTTATTCAAGTTTCTAAATTTTTAAAAATTAGAATTAAAACTTAAAATCACAATAATACTAAACAGAGTTTTCATTTAAGTATAAAATATATCAGCTTTCTATCATTACTTTTTCAGTTAAATCTTGATTTTGAAAAAAAAATTGTCGAAGAAGTTCGACTGACGCTAGCCTCCTCTCCCAAATTTTCAGTATGTCTTACTTCTCGACAGGTTAATCAACATAGTTAATTACGTACGAATTGGGTTGCAAATTAACATACACTGAAAGTCAGTTGTCCTTCCTTTTGCCCACATAGATGCAGGATATCTGCTCTTACTTTGTTTCCGTTCTCCCGCACTCAAGCTCTGTGTATGCTCTAACTTTTGATGGAATTGAATGCATTGCATGATTTTTTTTTATTTTTATTTTTATTTATTTTTGAAAAAGGTCTCAGAAGACGTGGCCATCGAGCCCACAAGCGAAATTGGCGGCCAAAAAGGTTTGCTTCTGCGAAGTGCAGAGCATGTTTGTTGAGATTGAGATCTTTTCCAGGTGACGGACGGGCACTTATACTTAAGGCCTGTTTGGTGTGGATTGTGGGAAGAGCTTTTTGGCTCTAAAAGCACAAGCCACACCAAACGGAGTAGCTTCCTAAAGTGGCTGCAGCTTTTGAGAAGCTCAGCTTCTCACTTTTCCTTTGCAAAGGGCGGAAGCTCCCAATTCTTACTTCCGCGGGAGCTTCTCACCTAAACGTTTAATAAAATTGACCTAGCATCCCCATTTTGTCCTCACTTTTTTTTTTATTTACAAAAAAACCACTATATAAAGGGCCATTTTATAACCCCCTCTTTGTTTCTCGTGTTTCTTCCTTTCTTGTTCTCTGAAGCAGCCGAAGGTGCCCCGTTCTTCCTCCTTCTTGCCCACCTTTTTCCAAAGCAGATTGGAAACATAAAAGCCTCTCAGTCACTGGCCTTCTTTCTCCCTAACTACTTCCAAGCAGAAAACCCATTTCCCCTGTCTTCCTTTCTTTCTTTGTCTCTGAAGCAGCCGACCTCCCTTCTTGCCCACCTTCTTCCAAAGCAGATCGGAAATACCAAAGCATTTCAGTCACCGGCCGTCTTTCTCCCTAACTACTTCAAAGCAGAAAAGCCCATTTCCCCTCACCGGAAAATCCCCACCAAAAATCCCATTTCTCCTCCTTCTGTGAGTGTCCTTCCTTTTCTCTGATTTTTTTTCCTTTTTTGGTGTTTCTGCTACCAATTTGGTGGTGATGAATGATGATGGTTGGTTGGTAGTGTGAGTTTTGGTGAAAGTTGTAATTTTTAATCCCTTGTTGTTCCTTCTCTTCTTGCAGATCTGGGCGACACGACGAAGCAGGGCATGGGTCGGTGAAGCCAAACGAAGCAGCAATACCAGAGGGGAGTGAAGCGGAGGGTGTTCCGGCCACGGGACTTTGGATTCTCGAAGCATTGTGCCATTCCATTGTCTTCAATTTCCAGGTACATAAACAGCACTTGCATTTAATTTATTTCTTTTTTATAGTCTTGATTTTAAGTTTCTTTGGCGTTTGAGATTTCTATGACTATGATTTGATCCTTTGTTTTGTGTTGATTGATTTCCCCTTGTTTTGTAATTGAAGATTTATGCATGAATTCATAAACCATGGTCATAATTTTTGAATTTCAGTTGTTCATCCAGTTTTAATTTGCGGTTGAGAATGCTATTAAGGGTTCAAACTAAAAATTGGGTTTCAAAGATTGAAACAATTTATTGGGTCTAAATGGCTTTTGAGAAAATGAAGAAAATCAGTAGAGGGAAATCTAACGTTAAAAGCAAAAGTTGAGGGACACATATTTTTACTGTGGTAAGAGATGAGGGGTCCTAGTTTTAGCTCTGTTTTTGGTGTTATTATGTGTGTCTATACTTCCATTATTCCACATTTGTTTTTATGTGTTTGTAGATCTTGTTTTAAGGCAAAAAATTTTTCATTATATAAGATGGCTGAAAAAAGGTCAAAGGCAGTGTGGGATGCATTTACAACAAAAATTTTCTGCAAGATATGTGTGGAAGAGGTTATTGCCGGTAATCGTCCTAATAGTACTTTTAATAGATTAGGGTGGACAAATGTGGAAAAAAAATTTAATGAAAGAACAAACAAGCATTATTTTTATAAACAACTAAGAAATCGGTGGGATGCATTAAAAAGTGATTGGGTTTTGTGGAATCAACTCTTAAAGCGACAAACAAGACTCGGGTGGAATCATGAAAAAGGCACAATTGATGCTACTCCTCAACGATGGGCTGAATTGAAAGCGATTAGTTGTAGTCTTTTATTGTTAATGATTTTTAGTTTTTTGCATGTGGCTTTGTTAATTTTAACTTTAAACTTCTAATATGTTATATATTTATTATAGGAGAACAAAGAATACGGTAAATTTGAGCATCATGGATTAAAAAACACAGTGGAGTTGCAGCAAATGTTTGACAAAATAGTAGTCACCGATGAAACTGCATGGACTCTAGCTGCTGGGCCTATTCCTCCAGTACAACAGAATGTGGGGTTTGAAGATGCTGTTGATTTGGAAGAAGGAAGTGGTGATTCTGACGAGGTGAATGTCATCCCAACACAAACTGGTGGAAGTAGTGAAAAAAGGAAGAAAAACACAATTGGTCCTTCACTTACCGGCAAAGGGAAGAAAGTGAAAGTAGGGGGTGCAGCATACATACAGAAACAATTGAATCATCTTTGTGATGCAGTTGAAAGTTATACCGCAACTACTTTGAGTGATTCATCAAAGAAAAATTATGAAACATATCTTGATACCACTGAAGAATGTATGGAGATGTTGTTAACTTTACCTGGAGTTGAAGATGGTAATGAGCTTTTTATGTTAGGTACTCGTTTGTTTG